CCAATAAAGTAATAAAGTTTTCATACAATTTTCAGTTCTATACTTTACGAAGGTTACAAAAAAAAATTCAAAATGTTTTAATAATTTTAAAATATAGTTTTAGTAGGCTCTCAGTTTTGGTTGAGAATTACTGGTACAAAGAGTTCAATTTAATTTATTTAATTAACATTAATAACCAAATAAAATACTGCATTTTATGCGATTATAAAATTTCATTTGGAAGATTTATGTTTTAGATGATACACTTCAAAGTTAAACATTAGTTTTTATTAATACGCTATAAACTGTAAAATTTCAGCATTAAAAAAAACATTTTCTTGGTGTACCTGTAGGTCTTTTTAATTGTTCTACACTTATTTTTAAAATGATTAGCTTACTATTCATTTAGGTATATGTGATTGTTCATAGTATAATTTCTAAAAAGCTGTAAAGGAATTTGCTTTGGTGGTACGGTACTGTAATTGTAAGACTCTGCTATTTTAAGCCACTCGTTGAATACCTGTAAAAACCATGTATCCTTGCTGAGACAGTTTTTGATCTTCAGCTGTGTATAAAACAACTTTACTCAGGTTTTAAAAAATAAAAATTGAAACAAATTTATACAGTATAGTAAAGATGATAAGCGGTAATAAATTGTAATAACCTGAGCACAACTTTTTGGTTGAATCTGTCGTACAACAGAAAACGGACTCATAAAAGTTTCAGTTTTGTAACCGAGTGTTTTGTAAACAGTTTCTTCAATTTCAGAGTAAGGTACTTTCCCCCATGAAAGTGGGATAAACCTGCATTAGGAGCTGTTAAAAATTGAGCATTGCAAAATATTAGACAATAGAAACAAAAAACCTATTGTGTAGTAAAAACAGTGAATAAAAAGATAACTCTTCTGGATAGATGAGAGGGGCTGACTGCCTGATAACTGTAAATTTAGAGAGGCGTTCGGAAACTTGCTGCTTTGAAAGGACGGTAAAGACCAGAATAGCGGCAGTAATGACAACAATAAATATCCAAGGAATCCACTGAAGAAAACATATCCCACAACGATTTCGCATTCTCTAAAATTTTTTTTGCATTTAAAAAACGAAAGAGAGAATAAACTACAGATTAATATTTCACTTGATATTCATAGTTCAATTTCTTCAATGGTTTAAACTACATTTATAAAATATTGTTCGACAGCTTTTTGGAACTAACAGTTTAGAATTTTCTCAATTTTTTTTT